AAAGAAACTTTTCTGTTTAAGTTACCACCTAAAAATAAATCTTCCTATTTAATTTTAAATAGAGGATGAGACAGGAGAACAGGAATAACAGTTTTTCTGAAGAAAGACCGATTAATCCTGACACATCATCAACTTTTCTTTTTCTTTTCACCACTTGGTTCTATGAGTAACTGTTAAAATAGCAAATTTCTGGAAGTAAACGGTTTAAAAAACATTTTAAACTTATGTTGCTGTGAGACTAAAAAGAAAAATTGCAGGTTTATTAAAAATTCGGTGATTTAGAGTGTAATACACTAAAAAGAGCTTGGTAATCTAGTATCTGTTAAGAAATAAGCACATAAAAAGTAACACTGCCATAGAGCATTTACTTAAATATTCATGAATTGGGGTAAAACCTACAGAAAGGTACCCACATTTGAATAAGGTGACTTATAACAGTACTTCTGTGTAAACCCAGAGCTTAAAATAGTGTGAAAACTCAAAGACATCTGAATACAAATATTTACCTGTAAAATATCTGAAGCTTGCAACTGTTTTAAACAGATAAAGTGCTACACAGTGAACGAACATGACAGGTGTGTTAGAAAAAGACTTTGATCCTTATGAGATGACGGACTGCCTGGAGAATGCGTTGAAGCTGCTGACAGCGTCCTTACATCCATATATGAAACAGGCAGAGAGCATGAACCCAAAAGAGTTATTGGACAATCTGAAGGAGGTTGCAGAAAGTGTGACCTCTACAGAAATTACAAAGTCAAACTATGAAAAGCTGGCTAAAATTGCAATATTGCTGAAAGGATCGTTCTATGCAGTTGTTGAGAAAGTTGATAACCTTACACTAAGGTTAGACAGTGAAAAAGTGTTTGCTCAGGAAATTGAAGAACACTTCCTTCAATTTAAAAGTGAACACGAGGTCCTCATGACGAAACATTATGAACAGATGTTTCAGTTAGAGCAAGAAGCGCGTGCAGAAGTTGATTCAATGACCAGCAAAATACAATTACTTGAGGCATCACTATCTGAAGCCAGGGATGCTACAGATGTGCTTAACAAAGATCTGGAAGAACTCAGAATGGATAAACAGATATTACTGGAAAAAGTTGTGCGTTCACGACATGAATGTCGGTCATCGCAGGAACGCCTGAAGGCTTGTGAGGAGGAACTGGCCGCAGCAACAAACAAGATTTCTGACGTGGGGCGAGTTTGTCTGGAACTCAGAGAAGACCGTGGACAGAGTTCAGGTCACCCACAAACACCTCAGAAAGACGTTGTTGCACATCCTGCTCTTAATCCACCCTCATCTCGGGCGGTAGGAACAGACCTGAACAGGTCTCCTCCACAAAACATGCAACAGAGTGCATGGAAACTTCCTCTTTCAATGGATGTTCTGCTAAAACTCTCAAAATATGTACAACGCTTTGTACCTGGACCGATGGGTTCAACTGGAACAAAAGCGTACCTGAAAGATCTCTAATTCAGATTGAAGGATTATCCTAATGCTATGGTTGAGGATAAGATCAGTCTGATAAGACTCACTTCGGACAGAGAGGTGTTCACCTTCATCGTGCGTCTACCAGATGCAACGAGAAGGGATTACAACCTTCTGTGTGAAGCTTTGATCAGAGAGTACGACCCCTGCACGGGACCTGCTTGTTTCCCAGCCGCTGACAAGGTCACGCAGGGAAAGAATGAACATCCAAAGATTTATTACAAAATAATCTTCCAAGCTTATTTTGGTTACAGAAATGAAACCGGAATGGAGGAAGAAGAAAATTTTAAATATGTTTTCAGCAAAAATCTCCACACTGACATACGCATGTCAGTACAAATTATGGCAAATTTCAGAGAAAAATCCATAAATGAGATTAAACAGTGTGCTGTGAATGTGTTCGAGGCACGTTCTCATGCTAAGACGCCCATAGAGGTGTTTCCTGGTATAAAGGTTAAACCCCACTCCCTAGAAATGGAAGGAAGGTGCGCCGCGCCACCTCCTCCTAAAACAGGCGAGAAAAGGCAGTATTTTCAAACTAACGAACCACGTAATGAAGGTGCACGCTGGGACAAAAAGGCTCCTCTTTCAGAGGATGAACGTGATTGTCGTACATGGGACATGCGCAGGACGCAAGGATATGGGATCCAAGAGGACCCATATTATCAGGGGAAATCCGAAGAGGAACCCCCAAAAGACGTACCTAGCCGCCTCCCACCTCGGACGAAACGTCCCGAGGCGAAAAACTCACAAATGTTCCAGAAACAAGGCCCTAAACCTCTGAGCTCGGAAGAGACAGAGGAAATACAAAGGTTTTTAGACACTTTGATACACGCTGAAATGGGAACCCAACCAAGAGCACAATGTAGTGATCTGATCGCTACTTACTCTGAAGGCGCGAATGACAACATTACAGATGTCGGTGAAACACACCAAGACATTGCTGTTATTGCCTCCAACAACCCCTCATCGGACGAAGGGGGGATAAACTCACACACAAACGATGACGAGTCATCGCAAACTGAAAACTCAGAAACTGATTTTCATGATTTTGAACTAGGCACTCCAGTTCTGGGAGGACTCCCAGATAACCTGGTACCGAGTCAAGAAGCTGGGCCAGTATGTTTCACA